GCTGCACCGCGTAGTTTGTACCGCGCAAGTCTCACCGCGTGGATTGTGCGCCATATGCCGCGCCAATTATCAGAGTGAGGGGGCCGAACGGTCATTCATTGTCCCTGGGTGCGTGGCTGAAGTGAGATTCCGCGGTGCGGATTCGTGTTGTTGTTGTTGTTGTTGTTGTTGTTGTTGTTGTTGTTGTTGTTTTTGTTTGTTGTTGTTGTTGTTGTTGTTGTTATTGTTGTTGTTGTTGTTGTTGTTGTTGTTGTTGTTGTTGTTGTTGTTGAACATTATTTATTCTAAAGAATAATTATTGTTGGGCCCCCTGGTGCGCGCCCCCCCTGCGCCGCCTAGGCCGCAGCGACATTTTCATCATTTTCGTGAGGAAGCCTCAGAAAAGAGGGTGTGTACAGGATCCGGTTGTTTTGTTGTAATCCGCTTTCCTTTGCAAAAAACAATAGAAAATGACATTTCTTGTTCTAATATAATCAAATTTCAAGAATCCCTTGCAAAAAATAAGGTAAAGTGGACATTCGCGCGCGCAAGACGAAATCCTTCCAAAACCTTAGTTTTCGTAGCGATTTTAACATAAAAAACATCAAAAAACCAATGGTTTTTCAAACAAAAAATGTCGAAATTTCATCCCGCGCGCTCTTGCGGATTCGTAGGAAACCCAACACTTTTTAAACATTTCTGTCAAACGGGCTTTTGCGAGCAACTTTTTCGAACTTCTGCAACAACGGTTGCGCACCTGGCAGGGCCATCATCCCTGTCAAATTATACCATGCGGGACACATTCGTTTTTTCTTCGCGCGCGCACGCCGTCGTCGTCGGCCGCGGGGCCCTGAATAGTAGCCACGGTCGTCCGCATGCCACGAAGTGAAGTGTCCGAACGTCATAAGGCGGGAAGCTGGGTGTGGGTGGTGGCGAAGAGTCGTTTTGGAAAATTGGTAGAGCTTGAACCGGCCCCCCCACAAAGTGGGGGTATTGCCGCCTCCTTGAAAACCCCTGGCAAGAGGAAAATAATATTCGCCGCACGTGCGAGTAATGTTGTTGTTGTGTTGTGGGTGTGTTGTTGTTGTTGTTGTGTGTTTTTGTTGTTGTTGTTGTGGTTGTGTTTTCGTTGTCGGTCTGTGGTTGTTGTGGTGTTGTTGTTGTTGTGTGTTGTGTGTTGTTGTTGTTTGTTGTTGTTGTTGTCGTCGTCCCACCCGCAGCCCGCCCCGCGACCCACCCGCGACCCACCCCGCGACCCACCCGCGACCCACCCGCGACCCACCCGCGACCCACCCGCGACCCACCCCGCGACCCACCCCGCGACCCACCCCGCGACCCACCCGCGACCCACCCTGCGACCCACCCTGCGACCCACCCGCGACCCACCCGCGACCCACCCCGCGACCCACCCCGCGGCCCACCCCGCGACCCACCCGCGACCCACCCGCGACCCACCCCGCGACCCGCCCGCGGCCCACCCCGCGACCCACCCCGCGACCCGCCCGCGACCCACCCGCGACCCACCCGCGACCCACCCGCGACTCACCCCGCGACCCACCCGCGACCCACCTTCGACCCAAACCACGTTCAAGGTACAAACCAACATTTTCGGCGCCTGCGGCGGGCTTTTTTTGCATTCCTTCCAGGTGGAGAGCCCGCGACCCACCCCGCGATCAACTCGCGACCAACCCGCGACCCAAACCACGTTCAGGGTACAAACCACATTTTTCGGCGCCTGCGGCGGGCATCTTTTGAATCGTTCTAGGTGGAGAGACCGCGGCCCACCCGCGACCACGTTCAGGGTACAAACCAATTTTTTCGGCGCCTGCGGCGAGCATCTTTTGCATTCGTTCCCGGTGGAGAACCCGCGGCCCACCCGCGACCCAAACCACGTTCAGTGTACAAACCAATTTTTTCGGCGCCTGCGGCGGGCTGCTTTTGCAGGAGGACGAGGAGGGGGAGGAGGAGGAGGAGGAGGAGGAGGAGGAGGAGGAGCAGCAGGAGGAGGAGGAGGAGGAGCAGCAGGAGGAGGAGGAGGAGGAGGAGGAGGGGACGACGACGATGACGTCGACGACGACGACGACGAAAAGGAGGAGGGTGGAGGATCGGGAGGGGGGGAAGAGGAGGAGGACGACGAGGAGGAACATGACGACAATGGGAGGACGATGATGGAAGGACGAGGTGGGGAGAGGGAGGACGAGGAAGAAGCGGAGGAGGAGGAGGAGGACGAGGTGGAGGAGGAGGACGACGATGACGATGAGAACGAGGACGAGGAAGAGGAGGAGGAGTAGGAGGCGGAGGAGGAGAAGGAGGAAGAGGAGGAGGAGGAGGAGGAGGAGGAGGAGGAGGAGGAGGAGGAGGAGGAGAAGGAGGAGGAGGAGGAGAGCGCCATCGACAAGGAAGGTGGGGGCCACGAGGTCCGCCGGCTTGACGACGCCCGCGTCGCCCGCGCCCGCCCCCTCACTCTTATCCGCAATTGCGGGGTGCTATAGTATATTCCACAACATCGGCTGCGCCGCATGGGTCGCGCTAGAACGCTTGTTCCACACCGGTTGCAGAATGTAGATCGGTCCACGCAGAAAGCACCGCGTAGATTCGCCGATTGACTATGCCCCCGTCGCCCACTTTCCATTTGGAGCCGCGCCGTCCTCGCCGGGCCTGGCCTCTTCCCCGTCATCGCTGACAAAGGATCTGACGCGCACGCCCTCGTTTATCGAATGACCGCATTTTCCAGATATCCCTTGCATCGGACGTGAAGAGTTCACGCGCGCGCATGCCCGAATCATCCGAAAACATTAAAAGTCCTGTGATGACTTCATGATCTCGGTTCCCGAACACGCGCCGACGCCCGCTGGTTTTCCAACGTGGTTGTTCAATGAAGATCTGCGCGCGATCTTGCGAACTTTATAGGATGGCCGCACATTCCCGAACATTGATCATCAAAGTCCGGCCGAGCGGGCCTCTCGCGCCCGCGTGGTCGAAATCATTCTAACGCCATTTCGCGCTTGTTCGGGCTGGGGGTGGGGGCGGGGGGGGGGGGGGTCGGGGCGCGATCCGTGTCGAATCATGCCACGCGGACCGCTCGCGCCCGTCGGCCGCGCGGGCATGTCGACATCCTTCCAGAACTCTCATCGCCGGCGCGCGGACGCCATCGTCGTCATCGGTGTGGTCGGCATCGGCGCCGTCGTTGGCCTTGTCGTGGTCGTCGCCGTCATTGTCGCCATGGCACCGCGCCCGCCCGTGTCGCCCACCCGCCTTCATCGCCGACGCGTGGGCACCATCATCGGTATCGGCGTGATCAGCGTGGGCACCGTCATTTTCCCTGCCGTCGCCATCATCATCGTCGTCGCCAGCTTCGCTACAGTCATCATCGTAACAGTCGTCGTCGACGTCGCCATGACACCGCGCCCGCCCGAATCGCCGACTCGCATTGAAGTGCCCGCGCGTCAGCGCGGCCTGCGAGACGCGCTGGGGAATCCCCAGTGGTCCGCGCCACCGCGGCTGCGTCGGTCGCGCCAGACTAGCTGGCCGCCCTGCGCGCGAGCTTGCGCGCGGTAGCGCGGCCACGGCGATGCGCCAGCCAGCGCCAAGCAGTCATCGCAATCGCCGCATGGGTTTTGCAAACTAAATTAAGGGTGGGTGTGTGGGATGCTTGCGCCAGCAGTCGGATTGGACACTTACTGCGAACAAGCGTTGGTTCTCCTAGGGGGAAAAACGACTCGGATCCACCGCCCTCCCGAGGCCGGACTTATCCCCCCTGCCGGAAGTTGCCGAAGGGTGCAGGAACACGGCCCTGCATGGGGGCCCTCAGAGAAGAAAATTAGTGTTGCTCCGCTTCGCGGGGCTGGAGGCTGGGGAGATCTCGGGATGTCGACGCTCGGAACCGGGGACGTGGTCAGCGCGTCTTGCCGAGGCGTGGTGGACCAGAATTGGCGAAGAGACGCGCTGACCAAACTTCCTGACCGTAAACTGCGAGAAATGCGCCTCTCTGCACCCCTTGGAGTCCTTGCGGCATGAAAGCAGCCCGGAGCGACAAGGCAGCGCGACTATGCAGGGCCTGCCATACAGCCAGAAGTGTTGCCATCAGGGGCCTCGGAAAAGAAACGGGGAACGCCAGAAGAATCCAAACGGAAGGGCCATAAGGTAATATCGCCCCCCACCGAAAACTAAGTGGGCCTTATCTATCCAAATGTTTCGTCAATAACACAACGCCCGTTCCGTCCTTCACCCCACGGTACCCTCCATGTTATAAGGAAACCAAAAGCATGATGCTGAACATTTCGCGAAAGCGGAAGTGGCAGGGGCTGGAAAATCCAGCAAGGGCTGAAGCGAGCCCGAGACAGTTGGGATGAGGTCGCCAGGGCTGGAACAAGTGGAAGGAAACTGGCCAGGGCTGGGAAGAATGGATGGGGCTGGCCACAGCCGCTTTCCCCGGCTGTCCCGTGCCTCCGATCCGTGTCTGGGGTGCGCCGAAGCGGGGGACCAGGAAGGGGGGGCCAGTGCACCGTGGCCCGCGGACGAGGGCCCCGCATGGACGCCTCCGAAGCGTGGGCCAATGCCGAGGGGGGTCATCCTTAGGGGGTCGCCACTCCCTCGAGGAAACGCCCTGCCTTCGAGGAGCTGGCCCCCGAAGAAGATCCCAGAGCCACCCAGAACGCCCCAATTATAGCTAAGAAGCCAGAAAAGAGCCCCTAACTCTTTGGGAAAGGGGACCTAAATTTGGAGGGCCAGGAGCATTCGGGATAGGGGTTCTTTTCTGTAGATGTGTCGAACCAAACCGCCCAGACCCATCATCCCTACTGCGCAGACGGGGACCTCAGCGAGGCTACGTCTTCATCGTGCTGTTGGGGCTAGGGGTTCTTGTGCCCTCAATGACCATACGTCCGATAGCCTCCTCGATCTTCCGTCCTGGGGCCTCGCTTCCCAGGAAGAGCTCGTGGCCCCCCCCACTCCCGGGGTGGTGACCCCCCTGGCGCTGCCCGAGGCCGCGCCGTTGGGGGCGGCCGCGTGGGCCCGGGGGGCCTCTCCACGTAGAGCCGCTTGTGGGTCTCCAGCCGCTGCTTCTCGTGCCGCAGGTGCCGCTGCAGGTGGCCCTGCCACCGCGTGCAGGCGACGCGCTGCCCCAGGCAGGTCCTGCGGCGGGGCCGGCCTGCGTCGTCGTCGTCGCCGTCGTCGCCGTCGTCGTCGTCGCCGTCGTCGTCGTCGTCGTCGTCGTCGTCGTCGTCGTCGTCGTCGTCGTCGTCGTCGTCGGCCCCTCCTCCCTCCTTCCTCCCTCTTCCCCCTCCCCCTCCCTCCTCCTCCTCCTCCTCCTCCTCCCACTCCTCCTCCTCCTCCTCCTCCTCCTCCTCCTCCTTCCTCCTTCCCAGCCCTTTCGCCCGAGGGGGGCGAGGTGGGCGCGATTCGAAGGGGAGAAGCCCACCCGAGCAAGAGGCCCGCGCCGCCATGGCGGTATAAAGCTGTGGATCGCGGAGGGCAGGCTCTCCAAGCGCCTGGGCGAGCAGCTCGCGGCGCTCGAGGAGGGCTACCAGGCGGTCTGCGGCCAGGGCGCGGAGCTGGGGGTAGTGGTCGTCAGCGATGGCGACAAGGCGACCTGCCACGCCCCCCGAGGCGGGTGCCTACCACGCCGCCGAGGCGGCCGAGGCAGCCGCTGCAGGAGAGGGAGCCTCGGTTTCCTGGGGTCTTCCCTTAGGCGCGAGCGTAGGCGGAGCACACGCACATCTCCCACCAGGGGCTCACGGAGGTGACCGAGGAGCTTCCGCCGGGCTGGTGGGGCACGTGCGCACCGCCTCAAGGGTGGCGCGGGGCGCGCCCACAGCCGCTACGGACACCCGAAGAGCAGACCAGGTGCCTGGGCGAGAGGCATTTCAGCTTGAAGGTCCAAGAACGTGTTCTGGAGGCGCCTTGCTGGAACACGGAGGGAACGGTGGTAGCGCAGCAGGCGTCGGCCCTGGGCGTGGGGATCTCGAGGTTGGCAGCGTCGGGACTGCAGCAGCAGGAGCTGGAGGAGAAGGAGAACAAGGAGAACAGCTTGAAGGAGAGGTCGAAGTCCTACAAGCCAGAGGAACCGATCGTGAAGAAACGCCAGTCGAAGGCCCGCAAGATGCGCGCGACGTCCACTCGGGAAGTGCGACTGGCACCTAGCACAATAGGAATACGAATGATAACGTTACTAATGATAATAGCGATAATCATGCGAGTAGAAAGAATATACTTATTAATATGAAGAGTAACAGCAATCATCAGACTAATACTAAGAAGACTAAATACGAATAAACATACTAATCATAATAATGATAAGCGCAGCAAACAGGAGAAGAAGGAGAAGAGTGCGAGGAGGGCGCAATCGTCGACAAGGTCTGCAACGCCTCGCCCGAAGCAGGAGGTGAAGGTCGCGTGGAGGCCGTCCAGGTTTCCGACCGCGCCTTGGGCCTGGGGCTGAAAGGAGGAGATGGGGTCGCAGCGGAGATGGCCAGCAAGGAAAGCAGCAGCAGCCATGGAGATGGTCATCAACCTGCTATTCGTTTCTACATCGGCTCGGAGTCCGATGTCGAGGAGGGCTTGCAGAAGAAACACATAAGAATCATAATGATCAGAACCCGCAAATCGGCAAGGATAATGAAGGGGAGCAAGCTGCAAGCAGCGGTGCTGCCCTTCCCGAAGCTCACCAATGCCGACGGCGCGGAGGACGTGGGCAGCGACCTGATCGGCCGGCTCCGCGGCTTGGCCGGGCAGCTGCACAAGAGTGGCCTCAGGGACCTCGGGGGGGAGCAACCGGGGCAGGGCATCATCTGGGGTCCTCCTGGTCGTCCCCCTCGGGGCCTGGGGCTGGGTTCGATTTGGGCGGCCCTCCTGGCCGCCGCGGCCCTGGTGGGCCGCCACCCCGAGTGGAACCTGCGGGTCATGTTGCTCCCGTCGTACTCAAGGGCCACCTCCCAGAAATCATCTCGAGCACCCCGGGAAAGTGTCGAAGCGGTGTTGAACGAGTGTCGCCTCCCAGGGCCCGACGCTCGAAAAGCCTCAAGTTTCGGTACCGTCTTGGTGCCCCAAATCTTTTCTGGTGATCAAGGCTGAAGTAGGTTGGAACATCATAACCTGGGCGTTGCGTCCGCCCCCTGGGTCGGGGTCGCGGCACGGGCGCGCTCGTGGCTTCGCGTCGTGGCGGCGCGAGCGGATCTCTGCGGAGAGCGGATGGGCCTCGGCCCCCCCCCAGAGTCGTCAGCACGTCAGCACGTCTTCCTCCTCCCTCTCTTTTCCTCCTCGTTCCTCCGCCTCCTCCTCCTCCTCCTCCTCCTCCTCCTCCTCCTCCTCCTTCCTCCTCCCTCCCTCCTCCTTCCCCCTCCTCCCTCCTATGTTGTTGCGGCCACAGTTCCTGGGTGGGCTGTCGGGCCCCTAGCCGATCCATGGGCGATTGGGGGTCGATGTTTCCACCACTGAGTGCATCCCTCCCTAACGCTGCTCCTGGCCCCCTCTCCCTGCAGCCCCCCGCCACCAGTCAGCGCGTCTGCTCTCCCGAAGATCAAGAAGTGCCAGAGGCTCAGCCCGTTGCTCTTGCCCAGCCCGAGGCAGTCGTAAATGATGTCCAGCGTCTGGCGCCGAGGGCGGCAAGGACGCGGTCGGCCGATCGCCCTCGCCGGTCGTCGTCGTCATCGTCGCCGCCCTCGTCGTCATCTTCGACCTCCTCGTCGTCGCCGTTGTTGTCATCACCGCCGTCCTCGCCAGTCTGTCCTCACCGTGGCGCGTCGGTCGTCGGTCCGATCCCCATGGGTGTGCGTTTTTGCGGCCCAGCCCAAAGACCCTCGGGGTGTGCGGTGCGCGCCCGCACTCGCGCGCTCGATCCTGCCGCGCTCTCTCCGCCGGCGGGGCCACGCCGGCAGAGCCGGCACCCCGCGAGCACCTGGCGGGCTCGGTGAGTGGGCGCGTGGCGCGCCAGCGACAGGCACCACGGGCCGTCCTTGCATTGCCACTCCCTGCAGTCTGCATGGTGGCGGTTGCCTCGGTGTCGAGCTGAGGTTTGGCCGTCTTCGTCGTCGCCTTCCTTCGTCGTCGTCGTCGTCGTCGTCGTCGTCGTCGTCGTCGTCGTCGTCGTCGTCGTCCGTGTCGTCGATGCCGTGTCCAGCGTCTGGCGCCGCGGGCGGCAAGGACGCGGTCGGCCGAGCGCGTGCCAAGACCGGGGCTGCCGGCCGTGACGACGGGCACGCTGGCTTCTGGCACCGCGTGGATCTTTCAGCCTGGAACGGTCTGCGGCTTTCAAGACCGCCAGGTCGTTCCACGTTGGCCGATCCTTGGGCCGCTGGCGGCACGCAACCTGGACCGCTCGCGTTGGGGTCGTCGCCGCGCCGGCACGACAAGAGCCTGCCGTGCGGTGGCGAGTGGGGCGCCCAGCGCCGGCGACGACCAGGACCTCGCCAGGAGGGGCCCCTGGTCCCTCGACGCGAGAGGTCGCCAGCGCTGTGCGCAGAACGGCGAGCGCGGCAGCTGCCGTCGGGAGCCCTCGCGGCCGCGAAGAAAGCGGGGGCGGGGCCTGGAGAGAAACCCCCGGAGCACCGAGCCCCTTCCGCATCAAGCGTGCTCCTCGTCGCGACGGTCCGACCCCAGACATCCGACGCCGCTGTTTCTTTTTCCACAGCCTTGGCCCTCCTGTGATGGGGGCCCCTTCCGCGGGAACGATTTTTCATCCCGAGCCGTTGTGCGACGGTCCTGGGGCCTGGTGAGGGCTCCTGGAAGCCGAATGTCAACAAACTCCTTCCGTAGTGTTTTTAGTTGTGTGTGTGTGTGTGTGTGTTTTGCCAGTGTTTTTTTAATGCCATTCATCCCACAACGCGATGATGTCAGGGGCTGCGCCGTGCCACTTCGGAGCCGGCAGACGGTGGCCCCGAACAAATACACCGGGCACAACTCTGGCGGCCCCGGGCACGACCCCGCCAGACTGCAGGCCCATGCGGGCCCACAGACCTCGCAGGCTCGGGGACTGCGACGAACCTCTACTTAAAATGCCGTCGAAATCCGCCTCGTCGTCGTCGTCGTCGTCGTCGTCGTCGTCGTCGTCGTGGTCGGCCTCCTCTTTTCGCTCTCCCTCTTACCCCCCCCTTGCTGCAACTTTGGCAGAACAGTGGCAATGACGATTGCGCTCTGTTTTACATTAGGCGGTCGACGCTGAAACGCGAAGCTGTGTCACACCGCCTGTCGGAGGTCATTTTTTTTAGCTAAGCGTCGCGGATTACACAGCTACCTGATGGTGCTGCATTGAAGCACTCCCCGTCGACCTGATAACCCAGGTCGGGTAAGTGATGTGCAACCTTGTGTAAATATACAAGGTACGGGCAGAACGGGAGCACACTCAACAGCACAAGTGCTGTAGCCTGGTAGGTGACATACATGTGACAGTGGCGCATATGGAAGACGCAAGTCGTATTGGGCGTGCGAATCTAAACTGTCACAGGCGCAGAGGATGCGCAAAACGAACGCAACGTACCAACCCAAGTTGTGACTCAGATTATGGCGGGGTATCCGCACTATCTTGATTTGTCACAGCTGCCCAACGCATGCACATTCATGTGACAATTCGCGGTATAGTTACGCGACAGACCTTGGAGACATATGAGGTAGGGTGAGCGCTGACTGGTTACACATGCTCACTCACCTTGGCCTTCTCGAGCTTGACCTTGACCGCTTGCCCTTACCCTCGGCCATCTGCGCGCGTCTCGACCCAGGGTAATTATGTCACTGGCCTCTTCCGTCTCGCGCGCCGATCCCAACGATTTTTTTCACGTAGGCAACTTGAATGGCCGTCGCAACTTTATCGCCTGCCTGGTCCTGCCCAGCAATTGCTCTCCGCCCGTGATTCTTCATTGCGGCCCCGACGGCAGCGCCATCATGGCGCCCATTCGAAGGCTCTGTCTGCTTTACCGGGAAATGCGTGCCTATATTCAACGGTCCAACCGTGTCGCGTGCTCCGGAGTCAGCGACAGCCACCGCCGTCTCCGCGATAGATTCTGGACTATCTCTCGGGTCTGCGTTCGCGTCCTTTACCTTGTGGGGTACCTCGAACAGTCCGTGGTCACCCTCGCTTTCGTTTGCTTTGCATCCAGTGGTCTCGCAGTGACCAAACTGCCGGCACATCACTCATACAATTTCACGCGCTGCTTCATGTCACGTGCATTTTTTTCATTCTGGTGGGGATTTCTTTGGGTGTTCCAAGTGGGTCGGTGTGCTCCCAGGTGGCGGTATGACGTCCAGGATCCATTTCCGGCTGAGGCTGCCCAAGGTTGTGCGTTCCCTGCTCGCTACTCGCTGCTCGCTTGCCCAACTTCGCTTGCGCCATTGGTGCAAATGGCTGCGACGTGACCCTTCTGGCCGCACTTGCAACGCTCGCGCCCGCTCATGGACGCGTAACCCTTACCACCGGGTTTACCTCCTGGTTGCCGATTGCTTGCCAGTTCCCTTGCCGTAGCCGTAATTGCCCTTGTTATATTCATTCTGCCAACAGGGGTAGCCTTGTCCTTTGCTGCTGTTCTTGCATTTACCCTTGACTTTGCAACCTCTCGCCATGCGATTTATTTTTTCCGCATTTGTAGCGCATCGCTCTTCCTTTACTTTTGCCCGCGTTGACCACGCCCACATCTCCTTCGCTCCACTCAGGGTCGTCGTTCCAACCTGGGTTGCCCTCTTCGTCTGTTGGCCACCAGTTATCCTCGTCGTCTTCCCCATGGTCATTCCCCATTCCGATTTTTGGCGCTGCTGTTTTGACGGGTACAAACAGTTCATCCGATTTACCATCTGTCTCGAGCTTCTCAATTGGGGCGTTCCACTGCTCGAGTTAGACTGATGTGCCACTGACCTTCTCGGGTCTGTCGGGGTCTGTCGGATCGGGCCACTCCTGTTACTGCAGAATACAATTTGTAGATCTTCATGTGTAGTATGAACCCTTCAGCCTCACTCATGCCAATCAGCTTGGCCCGTGCCTCGGCGCTCTCTAACTTCTCGGTTCGGATGTACCAAAGGTTCTCATTTAACTCATGGATCCCATCTTCATTCAGGACGCCCTCTTTGTCATCTGGTTCATCCTCTTCCTTTTTCTTCCCTGGTGCTCCCCTGTTATACTCCCATGCCGTCATTCTGCAATTCAACATCCTTATGCTATCACTTTATTCGTTCAGGTTCGGTAGAGCCCCGTTTATTTTGTTCAATTTTGCACCGAGTACTTTGAGGGCGTTGCGATTCTCATTGTTGACGTGTGCCAGGGCATTGGACAATCGGTCATTCCATTCGCGAGGTTTCGTCTGGTCTCCGTTGAAACTCTTCAATGGTAAGATCGGTTTTTTGATCTGCTCACAGGCCTTTGATGCGCTGTACTTTCACTGGGTCCCGCTTTTTCTGCTACCTGGGCGAAGATCGTGTTCGTGGTCGTCTTTTTCCAAATCATTCTCTCCAACTCGGCCACTCCCGTTCTCATTTGCGTCGTGCCCACTTCTTGCTGAATCTCGTGACTAATGATGCTCAATCATGTCGCGCTCGATTTGCCAACCATCCTCATCAATGGCGTTGCGTGCTCGCTGGGCAAGTCTTCGTTGCCCGAACGATCTTGTTCTTCCCGATAATTCGTCATCTCTTCGCTATGAGCTTGCACGCCAACTTTGGCGAACTCCTAATCACCCTGGTTGTACACGGTGAGACAGTTAAGTCCAAAGCTGGCGAGGTCAGACACGTTCATTCTTGCCGCGTGGTGGGTACTGGTTCTCCTGCTCTCACTGCCATAACTTCGCTCCTCTTCAAATCACCTTTGACAAAACAGCGGTCATGAGGATCGAGCTCTGTTTTGCAATAGGCGGTCGACGCTCAAGTACACAGCTGTGTCACGCCGCATGTCGGCGGTTCTGCTTACTTGAACAAGCGTCGCGGGTTGCACAAGTACATTGAAACGCGTGCTCCTCCTCCTCCTCCTCCTCCTCCTCCTCTTCCTCCTCCTCCTCCTCCTCCTCCTCCTCCTCCTCCTCCTCCTCCTCCCCTCCCTCCTCCTCCTCCTCCTCCTCCTCCTCCTCCTCCTCCTCCTCCTCTCCTCCTCTCCTCCGCCTCCTCCTCCTCCTCCTCCTCCTCCTCCTCCCCGCGGGGCGAGTCATGACTTGGGGGTCGAGTCGACACGTGGGAGAGACCCTGGAGCCCCAGGACAAGCACGCCAATCAGGGGAGAAGGGCTCTGCCGCTGCACTGCCTTCGTCCCAGTTTTCCTCCTTTTCCCTTGCTGGTAGAGTGGCCTCCTGGGAGGCCCCGGTGCCCGGCGGAAGTCTGCATCAACAGACTCTGGACCCCCCGATGGGAAGCCAAGGGAGCCCCAGGAGCCTCAGGGCGCTGGCGGTGGGGACCAGTGGCACGCCCAGGGGGGGGGGGCGATGTTGCTGACCTTCTACGTGCGGGGGCATCCAACAGGAGGGTTCGCAAGTCGTGGCCAGAGGCATGTGCGCGGCCATGCGCGGCCCCGCGGGGGCCCGATGACGCATTGGGATCAGAGGAGGCGCCGTGAAACCTTGGGAGATATCACGGCCCTGGCCATGATGTCCCCCCACCAGGTCATCACCCCCCTCGTGGCTGCACCCGATGGGACGGCAGGAAGGATTCTTGGAAGCCTTCCTGCCTTCTGACGAGGCCGCCCGCCTCGCCCCACCCTCTGGAACTGCCCCCAGGAAGAGCGCCCCTAGAGGAGCCATGGCGGGATCCGTCGCCCTTCGAGACACGGCGGCTCCGTGACGATCTCGTCGATCTCGAGCCGTCGGAGTAGACATCGCCAGACTGGGCACTGCCGAAGCAAAACGCCTCGATTACTTTTTTGCGGGAGGGCCGTTGCAACATGTCGCGGTCGAAATGCAACAAATGATTTCTATAGCTCCTTGCCGGGCCACCAGGACGGATATCTGCTTCTCGCCAAGCTGTACCCTGGCGACCTGGAGTGCTGTGGGTGGCTAGGAGCCGGAGTGCCTAGTGCCTTACTATCTGGCGCGGGACCTCCACAGAACCACATTCTAGGCAAGGGTGCAAAGGCCGACCGCACAGACCAACGCAGTCCGAAACGTTCCGTCAGAGCCGTGGCCGCGCCAGGACACCATAAGCTGCAGGGGTAGGAAGGGCCGCCCGAAGCGTCTGCCTCTGCAAACCTCCTCCTCCTCCTGGCATGCCAGTGCCGCCGCGGACGGCAGAATACGGCAGAGCTTTGCCTCGTCCTCCTCCTCCATCTCCTCCTCCTCCTCCTCCTCCTCTTCCTCCTCCTCCTCCTCCTCCTCCTCCTCCTCCTCGTTCTCCTCCTCCTCCTCCTTCTCCTCCTCCTCCTCCTCCTCCTCCTCCTCCTCCTCCTCCTCCTCCTGGCATGCCCGTGCGGCCGCGGAGACGGCAGCACATACGGCCGAGCCCTTCCCGCGGGTATGTGCGCCCCACCTGCTCGGGAGCTGCGGCTCGATCTCTCTGCGCGCGACCGCAGGGGAGCGGAGAAAGCTGACCAGGGACCGCGTCGGGCGGAGCAACTAGGAGGGAGGAGGGAGGCACGAGGAACGAGGAACGAGGAGGGAGGAGGAGGAGGAGGAGGAGGAGGAGGAGGAGGAGGAGGAGGAGGAGAGGAGGAGGAAGGAGGAGGAGATGAGGAGGAGGAGGAGGAGGAGGAGGAGGAGAGGAGGAGGAGAGAGGAGGAGGAGGAGGAGGAGAGGAGGGGAGGAGGAGGGAGGAGGAGGGAGGAGGGAGGGAGGAGGAGAGAGAGAGGAGGAGGAGGAGGAGGAGGAGGAGGAGAGGGGAGGAGGAGGAGGAGGAGGAGGCGGAGGCGGAGGCCGGAGGCGGAGGCGGAGGAGGAGGAGGAGGAGAGGAGAGGAGGAGGAGGAGGAGGAGGAGGAGGAGGAGGATGAGGAGGCGGAGGAGGAGGAGATGAGGAGGGAGGAGGAGGAGGAGAGAGGAGGAGGAGGAGGAGGCGGAGGCGGAGGCGGAGGCAGGCGGAGGCGGAGGAGGAGGAGGAGGAGGAGGAGGAGGGAGGAGGAGGAGGAGGAGGAGGGAGGAGGAGGGAGGAGGAGGAGGAGAGAGGAGGAGGGAGGAGGAGGAGGAGGAGTACGTAGGCCCCTCCCTTTGCCTCCTCCGCCCCCCCCCCTCGGCTCCAGCCCTGGTGCCCTTGCCCCGCCTTGCCCCGCCTCGCGTGCTCCCCACAGGGCAGCCGGCACGCGGTGAGCTCGATCTGCGCCCCCCAAACGCGTCCGAGATGTTCGGGCGATCCCGGGAGCCCCGAATCCTAAAGACGTTTTCATCTCTTGGGGGCACACCTTTTTTACCTCCGCCGCCTTCCGCCGAGCTTCCCCCGGCGGAGGCGGCCTGGCTTTACTTCCGCCGCCCTTCCGCCGAGGAATTAGATGGCAGTCCCTTCTGCAACGCCTCATCTGGCGGCGCGCACAAGGGGGTAGCGGGAGGGGGGAAGGCCTCTTCGAAGCACCCCTGCTTTTCAGAAGGTGTGGGGCCTGTCTATGTAGATGTAGGGCCAGCGCCTTCGAAGGAGCGGCCTCCTTCTAAGAAGCCTTCCCCCTCCCCCTACCCCCTTGTGCGCGCTGCCAAGATACGGCAGAAACCCGCGCGGCCCCTCCCAAACAGACGACCTCAGTAGCCCCAGTACAGTGGGCACACACGATGACAGACCTTGCCCTAAGAAGTCCAGAGTTCTGTTGCTTCCATCGTACTTAAGGACCACATCCCAGAAACAATTTCGATCACCCAGAAAAGTATCGAAACAGTGTCGAACGAGTGTCGCCTCCCAGGGCCCGATACGTGAAAATCCTCCAGTTTCGGCACTTTCTTGGTGCTCGAAACATTTTCTGGTGACCAAGACAAAATAGGTTGGAACATCATAAATCCCGAGGCACATCCTTCGTCGACGCTGATATTGTCAGACGCCGCATGGCTCTGCGGGCTTGGGAGACCCGAAATGATCGTGGTGTAGCCCTTGGCGGGCCAATTCCTGGCTTGGTGCATCTGCAACATGGTGGCCATCGAGCCACAAATCCGTCGGCTTCCACGGGCCATGGACAAGACAAGGAACTGAGCCCTCCTTCCGGAACGCGCCTGCAACTCCGACGTCTGTCAATCTCCAGCGACCCTGCCCGAAGGCGATCACGGATGAACGTCCCATACCAGCTTCGGCGCAATGCACGCGGCCGATCGAATGCTGAGGAGGCGGAGGGGGGGGGCAAAGAGGAGGAGTGCGACGAGAGGGCGAGGGACCTTGGCAACTGACGAAATCACAAGGGTGTCGAAGAGGCCGGTTCCGGAAACCCTGAACCCCAAAGGACTTTTTCCTGGACTCAACGCGTGTACAGTAAATGCGTGCTGCTAGCACGGCCCCTCACCGGGCTTCTGAAGCTAAACACGGCTGCGGAGTTTGGGAAGCCCTGCTGCAAACCCGTCTCTCCCGCCTGTGCTGCAGTGTGTATGCAACTACGTACGCAACTAATTAACTCAGACGGGTCTTCGCATGGTGCTCGAAACAGCGTCGCATGCACCAGTGGATTTCCTAAACTATGCTTGGGGGCGCATTTTCTGCTCCCCCGGTTTTCGCCGGCCTTCCGCCGAGAGCGTTCGGGGGTGGCCCCGAATCGTCCCGAACATTAGGACACCCTCGAGGGCGCGAAGTCGTTCGCGGCTCGCGATTCTCGATTCCTCAGTCCTCATCTTCCCCGTCGTTTCCTTCTCTGGGGGGGCGGCGCGAGAGCCTGCAGGTGTGCGCGCTTCGCGCCGGCGGATGGGGGCCTCGTTCTACTTCCGCGGGCTTCCGCAGGGGAGGAGACGGCAAGCCTTTCGAGGCCCGAAGGCCAGGCCCTGTCTGGCACGCCTCCAGTAATCAGGGGACGACAGGAAGCAGACGATTATCGCCGATGACGACGAGGACGACGACGACGAGGACGACGAGGACGAGGACGACGACGAGGACGAGGAGGAGGAGGAGGAGGAGGAGGAGGAGGAGGAGGAGGAGGGGGACGACGACGAGGACGACGACGACGCCGCCGATGGACACCGCCTTGCGGTTATTATCGCCGATCACGCGCTGGCACTGGTCGTCGGACAGGAAGACCAGCTCGGTGCCCGTGCTGCTGCCTCGCCGCTGCGCTCAGGGCGGCGCGCGGGAGCAACAGCGCCGCCTGTGGGAGGGAACCTTTGAGCTTGGACGAGCTCCGTCCTGGCTGAGCAGGAGAGACGGGACGCAATCACGCGAGTGATGAAACTGAAAAGGGTCTTGCGCGAGATGACATCGCGACCTTACGCCGCGGCTTACGCGGGCCGCCAGCGCGGCACGCTGCATTGGAAGCGAGGGCGCTCACGCGCGCGCGCCTTTACGCGGGCAGCTTGCGCGCCAGTGCGTCGGCGCAGACGACCTCGCTTTTTTTCTGCGTCGCCCACGCGTGCGCGGGAATCTGCTCTCGACGTCGGCGCCGTTTGGAGGGGCGAGGGCGGTGGAGATGAGGGCTTTGGGCCCTCGTGGGGGCCCCCGGTCCAGCCCAACTATAGGCGCGCTCCTCCCGTGTGGCCGACCGCGGCATCCTCTACATGATCCCACTCGGTCGGGCTTCCGGCCAGCGCACACGTACATCTGGCCATCGCTCGGACGTCCATTCCCTGTGCGTTTTTTCGGTTTCGTGCGTGGTTTTTTCTCGCCAAATGATCAAGGATGCTCCTCGATGGTCCTCGCCCACGGAAACATGCACACGTCCGAGCGATGCCAAGCGTACATGGATGTGACACGGTCAAGAACTTTTGCTTGGTGTGTCGCGGGGGCGGCCCCTGGCGACCTGCGAATGCACTACAAGCGAACAGCCTGTCGCGCCGAAGCGTGGTGGGCCAGAGCCGGCGGAGCGACACGCTGCGCCAAAGTTCCTGCCCGAAGGACGTACGTAAGGGCAGCGGGGTGTGTTGCAAGTGGATCCCGGTGTAAGCAGCAGCGGAGTGTTGGGTGGGACAGGGCAAGGGCCACCCAGCGGAGTAGCTCTGCTGCCTTCCAATTGGAGGTGCCAAGGTCGGACTCTGCCAAGTTCCCTTGCCGTGGAACCTCGTTGGTCGTCCCGTGCGTTGGCCAGGCTTTCCGAGGAGGAGGAGGATGAGGATGAGAAGGAAGAGGAGGAAAATGCGGAGGAGAATGAGCAGGAGCAGGAGGACGACGAGGACGACGACGACGATGACGAGGAGGGGAAGAAGGAGGAGGAGGAGGTGGAGGAGTAGGAGTAGGAGTAGGAGGAGGAGGAGGAGGAGGAGGAGGAGGAGGAGGACGAGGAGGAGGAGGAGGGGAAGGAGGAGGACGAGGAGGATGATGATGACGACGACGACGACGTCGGTGCCAGAACCGCAGTTGCGTTACTCGGGGCATGGTGGTTTTGCTGCTATCACTGTGCTCCGTCGCTTGCTTCTGCTGGTCTCTCGCCCGCTTTTCTTCCAAATATCCTGTGGTGTTGGGTCCTCGTTTTGAATCAGCAAGGCCCCGCGTCCTCCCCTTCATTCCTCCTCTCCGTCCCCCTAATTCTCTACCGTCTTATGGTCTTGGGTCCTCTTTTTGAATCAGCAGCGCCCCGCGTCCTCCTCCTCACTCCTCCTCCTCTCCCTCCTCCCTCCTCCCCTGCCTTCCCTCTGCCCTCCACCCGTGTCAGCACACTCCTCCCACGTTGCGTGGCCCCCTGGGGAGCTCCACCGAAAGCACCCAGTGGCTGCGTCCGCAGGCGTCCCCGCCTCTCTCTGCGGGGCACGCCTCACGCGTTTTTGTGGCCCCAGAAGGAGCTCCACCGAAGGTCCCAGTGGCTGCGTCCCTATGCGTCCCCGCCTCTCTCTGCGGCGCACCCCTCACGCGGTTTTGTGGCCCCAGAAGGAGCTCCACCGAAGGTCCCCGTGGCTGCGTCCCTATGCGTCCCCGCCTCTCTCTGCGGCGCACCCCTCACGTGTTTCGTGGCCCCAGAACAAGCTCCACCGAACGTCCCTGTGGTTGCGTACCTGTGCGTCCCCGCATTTTATGTCGGCGTGCCTTCAAATCTCTCGTGGCTCCATAAGGGAGCTCCGCCAGCGGCTCCAGGGGCTGCGTCGCTATGCACCCCAGCCTTGGACTTCAGCACACCCTTCACACGTTCCGTGGCCCTATATGGAGCTCCGCCGAAATACCACGTCGGTGTGTCCCTATGCGTCCCCTCGCACGTACAGTGGCCTCATATGGAGCTCCACTGAAGGCCCCAGTTGCTGCGTCCGTATACGTCCCCGCCTTTGATTTCGGCGCACCCCTCACGCGTTTCGTGGCTCCCTGGCTGGGCGCCGCACGAGGCTCCAATGGCTTCGTCCCTATGCGTCCCCGCGTTTAGTTTCGGCACGCCCCTCACACGTTTCGGCACGCCCCGCGTCTAATTTCGGCGAACCCATCACTATTTCCTTCGTTGCCCCATAGGACGCTCCACCGAAAACCCCAGTGGCAAGGACCGCATGGGGTTCCGTGCACCCGTTCCGGCACACTCCCCGCACGTTTCGTGGCCCCCCTAGAGAACTCCAGAGAAGGCCCTAGTGGGTGCGTTCGCATGGGTCCCCCTGCTCTGATTTCGGAATACCCCTCACACGCTTCGTGGCCCCATTGGGAACTCCGCTCCGGTGTCCCGCCTGACTTGCGGTACTCACATCTGCATACGATTGGGTCCCTCGAAACTTTGTATTGTTTCTTTCTCTCTCTCTCTCTCTTTCTCTTTCTCTTTCTCTTTCGGGTCCCCCTTCCTCCTCTGTCTCTGGAGGAGGAGGAGGATGATGTTCATGTTGATGTTGATGTTGATGGTGCTGCTAATGATGATGAAGATGAGGATAATGCTCAGGGGGAGGAGGGGGAGGAGGAGGAGGGCCGAGAGGGAGGAGGGAGGAGGAGGAGGAGGAGGGGAGGAGGGGGAGGAGGAGCTTTCTTTGTCTGGATTCTCTTGCGTCTCCGAGGCTCCCCGTGCGACGTGCGCTCCGAGGCACGGGCTGCCTCTTGGGCCAGCGGCCGAGGCACCCGTGCTTCACGAGCCCCCGCCCCCGAGTTACCTCAGAGACGTGGTGCTGGCCAGTCCTGTCCAGGCCCACTTCGTCTCCCTCCTCCTCCACTCCTGTCCTCCTCCTCCTCCTCCTTCCCCTCCTAATCCTCCTCTCCTCCTCCTCCTCCTCCTCCTCTCCTCTCCCTCCTCCTCCTCCTCTCCTCCTCCTCCTCCTCTCCTCCTCCAACCCCCTCCTCCCCCCCCCTCCTCCTTCTGCCCTCCGCCTCCCCATCCTCCCCCTACCTCCCCTGCCTTCCTCTCTCCAATTTTCAGCACCAGCGCTCCGCTTTCCCTCCTCCCGCCCCCCCCCCTCCCCATCCCCTCCTCGCAGCGTCCAAGATTATTCCTTCCTCCTCCTCCTCCTCGTCCTCCTCCTCCTCTTCCTCGTGCTCGCGTTATCCTGCTCTTCCAGCCCTCAGCGGCTCAAAGATGGGGCCCCGAGCGATGGGGCCCAGCCGAGGAACACATTGCCCCAAACAGTGAAGGCTCAGCTGTGGAGTTCTCTCATAGGGAGGGGGAGGAGGAGGGGGAGGGGGAGGAGGGGGATGAAGGGGAGGATGATCATGATGATGATGAGGAGGAGGAGGCGGAGGAGGAGGAGGAGGAGGAGAGTAGGAGCCGATGCGATGCGGATGCGGATGCGGATGCGGAGCGGATGCGGATGCGGATGCGGATGCGGGGAGAGGAGGAGGAGGAGGAGGAGGAGGAGGAGGAGGAGGAGGAGGAGGAGGAGGAGGAGGACGAGGCCCATTCCCTCAAGGCCTCATAATTTGAACCGCCGAACCCCCCCTCGCCTCACCCGGCAGGCCTGATCTGGATCGATCCGCGAAACCGGATCGGATAGGAACCGGAACGGATCGCCCCGTCTGGCTGTGACTGGCCCAAGCCGAGGCCAGTGAACCGAACCGAACCACACAGAATCGGCACAGCGGCCCCCGCCAGCGAATCGAATCGCATCGCATCGGGTCGTAGGGCGAAGCTGAGTGCAAGCAGGCGCTCGCGGGCGGTGGAGAGGTCGGAAGGAGCGAGGCCGCTCGCATTCTGCAGGGACCGACCGTCCCAGCATCCGTGCAGTTAGCCCTACCACAGCATGTTCCTGTACTGCCTCATGAGTGTCCTGAGACTTCACGAGCGATGCGCTCAGAGCACAATCAACCTGTGTGCCAAAACGAGGCCGCCCCGGCCGGCACTGCCCTGAGAAGCCTCCCTGGTGGGCCCCCCGGCAGCTCAGGACGCTTCGCCACCGCTCGAGCGCCTGCCCTCGCCGTCGTGCCGCGGCCCTCTCCGGCCGAGCCGGCCTGCCATCTTCACCGCGTACGGGCACGGCGCCACGGGGCACTGGAACGCCAGCAGAGCCTGCCCCACCCCCCCCGTCGGCGTGCCGCTCCCACTCGCGCGCAGCCGCTCCCCCTCCCACGCGCTTCAACATCCGTCCCACACCTTTGGCTTTGTCAACAATTTAGCACAGAGGCGTTCAAACACATACGAGGACCAACTGACTTTGAATAAAAAAACGTGGCACGGCGTCTGCACTTCAACGGGCGGGTACTTTCTCATCATCCCGCGCACGCGCACACACGCGCACGCGCGCACGCGCGCAACCTGCATGCAGTGGAGGCCAGTCCACAAGAGGCCCCCCACGAGAAACCCAACCCTGAGACCCCAGGACGTCCATCGATCTCTGGTGTGGGGACGTCGCGCCCTCCGTCGCAAAACCATCGCAAACCCAAGAAGCCCAGGGCACCCTGGGGTCGGGTGTTGCTAGAAGTACCCCTGGCCCAAGGTGCCCCCAGCTTTTCGCTCCATTTTGGAGCCCTTGGTGCCCTATGGGACTCGTGAGAGGTGCTCTGGAGGCCGTTTGGGGTACCCCTGGAATCCTGGGGGCACCTTGGCCCAGGGGCACTTCTAGCAACACCCGATGGGGGCAAGCAGGGCGCTTCTTGGCACGGGCCTCCACTGTGCGCGCGCACGCGGAGCCAGAAAGGGACCCGCCGCCGTCGGGCCGGCGAGGCCGAGAGGTCCGCACGCGCGGCGCCGCGCGAGGAAGAGGCAGGCTTCTGCCGCTCTTGCTGCGGCCTCTGGCGGCCCTCGCCCTCGCTCCTCCTCCTCCTCCTCCTCCTCCTCCTCCTCCTCCCTCTCCTGCTCCTGCTCCTCCTCCTCCTCCTCCTCCTCCTCCTGCTCCTCCTCCTCCTGCTCCTCCTCGTCGCGAGCCGTTTTTCGGCCTGGGGACGGCGAAAAACGGCTCGCGACGAGAAACGGGCCCCGGGGAAAGTCGGCGGCGAGCGAGGGGGGGAAGCGAGAAGGAGAAGGCCTTCGCAGGAGGGTTGGACGTCCCCGGGCCTTCTGAGGAGTTTTCGAAGCCTTCCCCGAAGACAGAGAACCACTTCTCAGAAGGCGCGAGGGCTTCTGAGAAGTCCCGCCGCCTGCTGAGGAGGCCTTCTCCTTCTCACTCTCCCCTTCGCAGGCCGCCGAGAAAGGGCCGTGGCTGCCCGGGACCCGATATCGAAGATTCGAAACGTCGGCTGCCTGGGGGCGTCCGTCCCAAGTCCAAATGTCGCCCGCGGCGCCGCCGACAGGGACTCCTGCTCAAGGTGGGCAGGAACCGCCGTCGGCGGCGGGGGGGGGAGAATCGAAGGGTCCCTGGGACACACAAATAGATACACACACAAATAACAGGATCCCCAACATTTTCCAATATTTTCTGGGTTTTTGTCTTCCCCCCCACTTCCCATATTTCTCCATATTTTCTCGGGAATCGACGATTCATTGTGTCTGTGTTTTTTTTTCCCTCCTGAAGAATGGCTGGGGAAGGGGCGGGGGACGGAGAATGTCACTTGGAATCGGCGATGCGCTGCCGATGCGTCGTCGGCCACGGGCCCTCGACGGCGAAAAGCCGCACGCTCCTGGGCGGGGTGAGGCCCCGCTTGGCCACGAACGGGCGGCTGGGGGGCGATGCCTGGACCACTCCTCCCTTGCAGCTGCCCCCGAATAGCCTGGCCCGCTGAGCGCCGCAAGCTCGGCGCGGAGGCCTCTGGCCTTCCCCTCCCGCAGCCGTGTGGCGAGTCTCTCCTGGCCCCCGCGCTCCTCTGCAGCGCTTCCTCTGCTGGTCCCAAGAGCCCGCCGTCCTCTCCCTCGCCCCGCAACGAGTCCTCGAGTCACGGATGCCTGAGCTGAGCCGGGTAAGCGGCACTGGAACGCGATCCCATGAGGGCCTCGTGGTCTTGGCCGACAAGACGTCACCAGGATGTTTTTGACGCCACGAGAACTCTGACCCCGAAAGTCTGTGACCTCTTACACAACATCGGGCCACGTATTGTGTGCCAGCGGATCGGCTCGTTGACCAGGTGGCCGCGAGGGAACTGCAGTTCACAGGGGGCCGCCGAATCGATGTTCAAGCCCCCCGCGAACGACGGGGCCACGA